TTTATTTTTATTGTACTGATGGACTCAATATCAGAATTTTTTTAAAAGCATGTATGATTTCGAATAGCCCTTTTATCCCTTTTCAAGATCAATAATAAATAATATATAATGACTACCTCATACTAGAACTGAATCTAGTAACTTAAGTTCTTACAATTAGCACGATACATCTAGATCATATTGTTAGATTACAAAGATTAATTTCAGTTAATATATTGAAATGCTTAGTTAAGTGTGCATTCATATTTTCATTTCACCTTTATATATATATATATATATATATATATATATATATATATATATATATATATATATATATATATATACTTTTTTTACCAGGTAATATGCATTCTCAGATGATGTACATTTAATTACACTCTTAAAATAATGTTGATTTTTAATTAATATTATTGTTCGTTTAACCGCATTCGCACACGTAGTGACAGGAAAACACCTTAGCTTTGTGGATTTGAATTGTTTCGATACTTAGACCTTGTTGATAAGTACCAACTAGCAAGATAACAAGATCTAGTGGTTACTGTTTAATGTTTTACAAGTATTAAACATAGAATAAGATGAATCACATTATCCAGTTACTTAATTAAACGGTCACCTTCCTGCTTGATTGGTCGACATTTAGAACCAGGAGGTTAAATCATACACTACTCAATGGCTGATTAGTAGGAACTAAGGATATGATGAGCAAGATTTTAAACTGAGTATGTTGTATTCAAAATTTGAGCAAACAATAAATTCAGTGAAAATAAATACCTACTGTTACTATCATCTATTCAGATCTGTAGGGTTCTATCTGTTAATGGAATGGTCATTTAACTAACAAAGATGCAACGTTACAAGGAATCTATCCCTACAAATAAGAATAATTTTGTTTTGGTCGAACTCTTTGAATCACGCTACAACCTTGAAAATATAGACCAAGTGGCCTTGAAGTAGTTATTCCAACCAATCACAATATTTATTTACGTTTAGAAAAAATGGATCACTTCGAAATCATTCGCTTTTGTTGATATCTTACACGTCATTATATGTTAGTGTGCATAAATGTACACAATGAATTCTCACTACTTGATATATCTAATTACCTTGTCTTCATGTTGATAAAAATCAGCCCGTAATTTTTGACTACTTTTATAATTTAGTTAATTAACGAATCAGAAATCAAAATTGTAAAATAATATTTCTAATCATATCCACATCATACTGTCTTATCACCCACCCATCGACGTTCATCGTCTTTCATGAAATCACATGGTAAAGAAGTTCTTTGTTACATCATGATATTCATCATTTCGCGTAGACAATATAAAAGTACAGACAATACTATAGGGTGAATTAGATAGAGAGTGAGAATTGGTCAGTTTAATAAATCAATGGACGAATGAAAAAAGATAGCGAATAAATGTACCATTAAATGAAAATATATACAGGGGTATTTAAGGTTACATTGTAAATAAATTTATATCGCATCAGTATTTATTTATCCATTAACCAATTACAATATATTCTAGCTTGTGCAAAGCTAGAAAAAAAAATCAACAGGGTAACACAAATAGACTAGAGATAATTTGACACTATTTAATAATTTTCGAATTTACTGACAATGATATCAATAATAATAATAATATTATTAATAGTAATAGTAGTAGTAGTAGTATTAATAGCAATAGTAATGTTAGTAATAACAACACTTAAGACAAAACAAAACTGACTCATACAATTGTACACACACACACAACACATAATGAGTACAAATCGGGGATGAACATACATACAGCATTTCGTTAGTCAGCCATAATACCTTATTTGTTACGTATATCTTACATGAAAAAAAGTCTTTGTGCAAAACTGATTTGGTTTTCGTAATTAAAAAAAAGTAATTCTAAGAATTAAAATAGTTACATTCGTTGCAGAAACAGTAAGGATGAATCATTCTTATTTGTGAATGGACAAGAATTTGTTTTTTCTCGAATAAACTTTTGAACACACAACAACGTTGAAACAAACCGGCTATCAATTACAAGGGATAATTATTGATTCGAACTTTTATTCAACAATTATTCTGATCACTTACTTCCAAAAGTAAGTTTTATTTTTTTCTTTTCTTACGCTTTGAATATATTACATAGTGCATTTTATGTGAATTTGAGAATATCAAAGTGAATTACATTTGTACAATTATACTTAGAGAGACTTTAATTTAGTAATATTTCACTAGTTGAAATCAGGAGTCAGTTGAAGCTAGACCAACATGGAGACCCTGGAAGCACTGCTTGGCGGCCGTTTAGTCCTAGTATGGGACTCCTTAGCAGTGCACATCCATGATCCCGCCCTCCGAGAGATTCGAACCCAGGACCTACCAGTCTTGCGTGCGAGCGCCTAACCATTAGACTATTGAGCCGGCAACCAACGGTGTTAATGTCTAATAATAATATTTGTAATATAATGTAAGCAACATCGTAACAAAACTTTTTAAATTTCCTTTTTATATGACTAATTAACAATATCGATCTCTTAATATTTTACAAATTCACATTTTCATGACTAATGGTTATTTCATTTTAGGGAATTATCTTAAATAAATTCATAGACTTACGTTTTTTGGTAGTTGATAGTTATCAGCAAGGTATGCCTAGAATCCTTATGGATCAATCATTTGCAAATATTTCAGACCTACAGGATATTAATCTTTGCATAAATAATTCAGTGGTAACATCTGAGACGATAAAGCTGAATGATTTAGGGTTCGACTACAACAGGGGTGCATCAATCCTCTTAAGATTACAGGTACACCTCATTGACAAGTGTCAACTGACAATGAAACCTAGGTCAAAAAGCATTCCTTTCCTACTATTTCCAACTATCAGATTTAGTCGGCATTATTGATTAACTTACTAAATCTGTAAAAATGAACTGATTCTTTAAGTACAAAACATTCAACCAGAATAATATGGCTGGAGTTATTTATCAGTTAACAAATGTTCAAGACACATTTTTAAAGGAAATTTTGTCTTATTGTTTAAAATGGTTAGTTTTAAAACATCCACATAGTAATTCTATAATGCTAATTAAATACAAAATTATAAGTAAATGGGTAAAACTCTTATTTGTTAGGTTATGATTATAAAATTCATTCAACTGATTATATTCAGTTATTATGATTATTCAATTGATAAATTGATATAATACATTGAATATTCGAATAAGGTAATTGAACTGACATTTTGTTTACGAAAACCAAACTTTATATATTGACTGGACATTTTTAAGAAAGATGAAATATACGGTCTTTCTGACTGGTCACTTAGGTACAAAATACTCAAATAAGATAGTTTGTTCTTACAATTCACAGCAAAAAATGGATGTAACTAAACAACTGTTAATAGCCAGAAACCATTGAACATTCGTTTCGTCCTAGTGTGAAAATTCTCAGTAGTTGAGATCTACAAATATATCAGGGATTGAACTCAGGACTTTTAGATTTCATAATGTACGCTTAACACTTAGACCACTTTATTAGGATACAATAGTTTATATCAGTTTTCTTTTAAGAAACTAATTTATCCTTTGTTGATGGAAACGTTTTCTGAAAATCTTTTTTCCAATTAATCTAAAGTGATGTATTTATTGAGGTATTCACAATTTCATTGACAATGTTATTAATTTAGATAAAATAATGCAATACAAAGTCTAAATAATGTTTTAAATCACTTTACGAGTTAACAAGTATATATTCATTAATCATTATTTGTAAACATTTGAATTATCCCGTTGATAATATTCATGACTAATTTAGAATAGCCCCTATTGTCTTACAATCTCTCGTAACAGATGCTTAGAAATTGACCGATTATGTTTTGTTTATAATTTTCAACCAAACTTCAGCATTAGAAAGGATGTAAATATTAGGTTTACGTTTCAACGTGAATATCAACAGCATATCCATGTGAGGAGTTTCAGACTAAACGAAATACGGATCTTAAATTCATCATCCAGAATATGATCATTCATAAATTAAGTTTATAATAAGAATAAAAAACCGTTCATATAAGTTCCATAAAATATGTTAGCTTTCATGCTAAATAATTTACCATAATACGCATTTTCGTCAGATATTTCAAAATTCATTTCACTTAAATATTTATAAGACACACCATGTTTTCATCATTGTTCGAATCTCGCGAAGCGAGGTCGTAGATGTTCACTGCTGAGGAGTTCCATACTAGGACGAAACGGCCGTCCAATGCTTCCAGGTTTTTCATGTTGGTCTAGCATCAGTTGACTCATGATCTCAACTATTGTAATTATTAATTGTTTAAACACTGCTCTATCCTTGAAGTGACATTTATGTATATTATATTCATAACTTCTTCAGATCTTGTTGGGTGGATGCGCATGGCCTTCAGAATACTAAGTGGATTCATAATATTAGTATATATATATATGTATATACTTTTGCATTAGAGACCAGTTGGTCGGATTTTATTGAGGTATTGCAGACTAAGGCGATAATTTCTCACCTGACCTCAGTTTACAATAAAGATTACCATAAAATTAATGATATGAAAGCTTTCAGCAGAGTTTCCTCCCATTTTTTTTTAAAGAATAAAGTTTCTTCTACCATTTTAATCCCTCAAATCGAATAGCATTCAAAACTAGAAGATACTATATTAACTAATAATAATTATGTTTTCGCCTATTATTATTTTCATCAAGAGACAAAAAGTCACTTACAGAATAATCATCTAATTCTAGAGAGTATATCAATAACCTATCATCCATGACATCTGATATGAATTGAACCAAGTTGCTCAATTAAAAATGTAGATAATTGGATTCTAACTCAGCGTACTAATAGTATTTTGTTAGATCTAAATATGCTTTGTAGTTGTGTTTACTGATTTTCAGTGTTTTGTTAATTGGTGTAAGTTCTTTATCATAATTATCTTCAAGTAAGTTAGATCATGTAGTGGAGTTCAGTTTGGATATCTGAGATCATTATACACATTACTACGAACTAAGTAGCAGAAACGTAAATAAATTGTCTTTTTGTAACGAAACAACTGATGTTACAAAACGCTGAGATGACTGAGGTGTAGTTGGATTGATCATCTTAAGAAGTAAAATCAATATTAGATGGTAATGAGCTATCTGACTTAAATATTTGTGAAATTAACTTTAGTTTCCAATTTGCTAACTCCTCTGAGGGATGAATTAATAATAATAGGCATGAATCATGTGATCTAGATGGTATGTAAGATATATAATATAGCCTTGTAACGTCTTAAGCATTTAAGGTATATGTTAAACCCAGTGTGGTATACTGTCATTATTCGAACGACCAATCATATTCCCAATCCCATTGAAATGGTTGGTCTTAGTTTGTTGCTTAAGTAAATCAATATAACTACCAGTGTGACATCCAAGAATGTGATGTACTACTTATGTTTTTTTTTCTGTTATTAGAAATGTCTTATTGAGTGATAATCGTTTGTTATTTTTTTTAAAAATTTTAAATAGATATTAAATAAATGTGTATTTAGACAAAAAGTACATTAACATACTTCAGTATTTCACTTTTGGACAGCTAAATATCTCTCGTAAGTATTTCATTATTTCCCACTTCGGAACAATATTTGTTTATGATAAACAGTATGATGTACAGTCGTTTTGAGAATGAGAATCAATCTTTGTGTAATTCTTTATCATCATCTTCAACATCATCTTTGACATCTCCGACAGTAATCCTCCACCATCACCACCACCCAAATCATCACAGTCATCAACATCAGCAACAACAACAATCACAAATTGCACAACCCGAACATCTTAAAACTTATCGACATAACTTGCATCGTTTTGATCATCATCATCACCATCAACAACGAGGGGAATTGTCTCATTCGGATCCCGTACCGTTTTATCACGATAGTCCCATGTTATCATGGAACCAAACAAATTCACCGTCACAATCATTACCATCTAATTCATTGATGTTTCTTACAGCAAGTAAAAATTTTCCTTTACAATCCGAACAAAACCTAATGGAATCTAATCCAAGTTTGGATGTATCAAGTCAACATCATTCATGTCTAAATCATCAACATCATCAAGAGCATACTCAATTTGCAAAAAGTGTTCAATCGCAAAATCATTATCATCATTATTGTAATTTTCAGATAACCCATAATCATCATTCTTTAAATCAGTTAACAAATCTTATGTCAAACCGAACTACAAATAATTCATCATTATTATTACAATTACCGGAAGTAGCAATAAGATCTGGAACAGAGACATTGTCGACAATGACCAATCAGGTTCCAGCGTATCAATTAAACAGCACTTGTTTTCCAGTTGAAAAAATTGAGAATACGTTTCAACGTGATAATAATAATTTATCATTGAACAATATTACTACGAGAAATGATTATATGAACTTCAACTTACCAATAACTACTACTCAATCATTTATCGCATCATCACCATCATCCACCATATCTTCATCATTGGCATTCCCCTCATTGACCACGCAGTCTCACGGTACGAAGAATAAATGTATTTATAAAAATTTAAGTAATCGTAATGTACAAAAATCAGTAAATAATTTAAAATTATTCAATGTCAATGATCAGTCAAGTCTTAAGACATTTAATGATAATCATAATGTTACTGACACTCCAACAAACTTATCAGTTATGGATACAACGAAGGCAACTGTCATGGGGATTACATCTATATCAAATAACAAAGGAATACTATGTGGATTAAATATGAAAGATAGAAAGCCATGTGATATATGTGGTGATGTAGCTGCCGGTTTTCACTGTAATGCATATGTCTGTGAAGCATGCAAGGTATGTGGAAGAATAAATTTTCTTTTTAAATGTTAATTGATAATTATAAGATTCATGAGGCATAGTTCATAAAAATGGGTAAAATAGATCATAAATATAAAGGAGGAAATAAAATCACCAAACTGATTAGAAATAATATGACTTGTAGGAGTAATAATTACATGACAAAAATGTATAGTGTGGTTTTTCAAGCAGGTAAGTGAAGGTCATCATAAATAAGAATAGAAATGAACTAAACGGTGATTATATGGTAATAATAGGAATAGAATGAATGAATTCATTGGATTTTAACGTAATATACTCAATTGTAATAATTAATGAAGGATAAGATTACATGTGATTTGAAGGTAGAAAGGTTGAAGGGTAGAACAAATCTTAAAGTGGAACTTAAGAGAAAATACAGAAATCTAGATGAGGAAACTATGGATGTTGTGAGAAAGGAAATATATACAGTTCTAATTTCATATAGCATATCGCTACCTTTCTTGAAATGCAAAAGAGATATACTCGTTCGCCTATGTAGTTGTATTTTTGGCCTTTGATCTCTTAAGTCTTTTGATTTAGGGTCAGTTTTATGATTGAATTTTTTCAAATTTTGTCCATGATTATAAAACGTTCTTCATGAATTTCCCCAATAAATAATAATGATAGCCACCCGTTTTCAATGTTTAATAAAACTATGATATCTAGCATTTTGGAAAAATTTGCCGTTCATTTAGTATTTCAGTGATGCATATAAGAATGCCATTTTCACTAGGGAATTCATTTCAGTCAACTGAAATCATCTACATAGGTCTTTTATGAATATGATACTGTAACACATCAACTTTCCGGATGAAAAAAGCAAAAAAAGAATAAAAGTTATGGCTTGAAGTGAAATCCTCTGTAGAAATTGTCCATTCACTCACTGAATGAACGGGAAAATGGTAGATATCACAATGGTATTGAAAACTGAGATTCAAATGTGTCAAAAATTTACGAACACGTATCCTATCACGTTATTTATTGTTTATTAAAATAGTGGTAACATTTTCAAGCAATATTCAGCAAAAATCGATATCAATCTGTGTCCCGTTGAAAACAAGCGCGTACTGAACAATCGTTTTGATCTAAAGTGGTACCTCTCAACAGTACTCACGCAAAACATCACCAAGGGATATAATCCAAAGATCTCCATCCATGTTTCGTAGTGAGCGCTCAGCCAGTGAAATGCACATAAATTCCCATAAACTTATTTATTCTAATAACAGTTATTTTAACATATTTGATGAAATTAATTTAGCTTAGATATCTGTCAATATGATTAATATGTATTCTCCGAGTTACTAATGGTTAATCTGTTAGATGTTGACTTTCAGTTGGGGACTTCAGTCGATTAATTAATTATTTGGAGTTATTCAAGTTTTGACTGAACATTAAGTTCTTAGTATAAATAAATAAACTTTAAATAATATCAATCAATTAGGTCAGTTAAATAAAATATTATTACGTATAGAGGAAAAGGTTTCGAAATTATTTTAAACTTTATGTTTCGAATCTGTGTTACTCAACTTTATAGTCTGAGACGCTAGTACCAATTACATCCTAGCATCACAACACAATACACTCAATGTCCATTCAGTTAGACCAGTGGTTACACGGCAGCTTGGTCGATGGAATACGATCAGCGCTAAAGGTATAGACAAAGATTACATTTGTCACTACTCAGTAATCAATCTGTTGTAAGTGATAATGACTGTTCATTAACATTTATCTCATATAAATTCACTGAAAATTCCTGCTACTAACATGATGAACATATTGAAATTAGATCCATTAATCTAGTGAAAATAGTTATTACAATAAATAAATAATTTCAAGTATCTATCCAGTGAAAAAAACTATCCTACAAAATTTCCAACCGATATATTGATTTAAATGTATTATCAGCTTGTTGAGATATTAAATTTGACTTTCAGATTTGGATATTCATCCTTTGGAGTGAAGATGGAACAACTCTTAGAAAATAAAATATTACATGATTATCGACTCATCTATTCGTAACAATATATATCAAATGGCGAGAAAACTGATTTATCTCTATGTAGTGATCAGTATTACGTTTGAATAGTTCTAATATTTGTTAAACTTGATCTAAAAAGTTACAATGATGTCACTAGTTTAAGTGGCTGGATATCTCGAGCACTTTGTATTGAACTTAGATAATTGGAGGTGATTTCCAAAACGACTTTATTAGTCTATCAAGATTAAGGAATATACAAACAGGATGTTGGTTAGTACTCTACAACCAGTGTGAATGTCTGAGTTCTAAAGTAGGTCAGCTATAACTTGTATAGTTTAATTGGTATTATCTCTTAATATATGACTAGCACGTCTGTCCCGATCCCTACATAAGAGATCGGCTTAATCAAAAGTACGGGTACGCATTCCTGACAAAGAACAACTAACATGAAGCCTCCAGATAAGGATTTCTACCTATTGCCTGTAACACTTCGTGATAGTATTCGGATAAAATACTTCTCTAAATTTAAGAAAAACCAAGTAATTTTTATCGTGAAAAATATTACGTTGTTTAACACAGGTTAAACGCGTTAAACGTATTCACTTCACTTTTTCAAATATTCCTTTTCATGCTTTTTTTATGGAGTAATTTTTTCCGATAAATTCTTCAAAACATACTGAAACATTATGCGTTCGTGAGTCTGTATGAAATCAAGAAACACATTATGAAGGGTAATGCTTGTGATAAGTTTGCATCGATTTTGAAAAATATAAAAAATACAAGAAAGCACTAGTGTCATGTCCCTACTATAAACGCAATGAACACACAAGGAATTTGAACCAAGTTTACTCTAGGATACATTTAGAACATTGAGTCAGAATACAACAGTAAAGTTGTTTACTTTCAGTAAATACTCATAAAATGGTGTCTCCTATTCTCTTATTGTCTTCGTCTATTCGATTATGACCATATAGGTTACAACTCCCAGCTAGAACTTTGTAGAAGTTAGCTCTTAAGTAATCATGACAGTATTAGTGTATGGATTGTGAAAATTGTTGAATGCTATCAAAACTAGGACCCTTGAGTCTAGCTTGCGAGACTTTTATGCATCGCTACCTGCCTATGGTGCTTCGAAATTTAAATTTGATGAGTTTTGAATTTTCAAGTCATCTAACACGAATAGGATAATCAAGACAAAGCAACCGGATTTACCTAATGGAAGCGAATTTTTTCAACCTGAGATGGTTACTATGTTTTTTTTATCTAGATGTGTAGGATTGCACACACTTGTTTCAAGCCTTTATTCGTGCCCTAAATACTTTTCATTCGAATATCATATCAAAACAATGTCACCATTACAGTGACATGTAAGTTTGACACTTAAAATATATTCATGTCAATTTTGTCACTTGATCCAAACAACGTACTTACTGTTTATCACGTGATGTGAGACAGATCCAAACTCTGCATCAGGCTTATCATATACTCAGAGAATAATACTATGTTTATTGATACAGTGTTAAATAAGCAGGCTTACTGTTCAGCCTCATTGCCTGAAATATTATTTCCATCTAAGAAAAGGGCGAATAAATGGTAATAGGATGATTTCAAAGCTTTATGACAGTGAGTCAGCATACATATTTATTAATCTATATTTACCAATTCATTCATTTCATGATATTTCGACTATTCTGTTGTAACTGTACGTTTCCGTTTGACTCATCAACTGTTGCCATGTCATTCCCATTCACAAATCACCACTAATTATAATCATCAATCATTTATTACTTAAACATTGTACCAATATATTCCAACTACCTACATTTCGTGATTCATTGCTTATTTTGTGTTGTGGATCTGTGTTGTATGTTGTTCGTTGTATGTTGTATTTGATCACATGAGTTCTGAGTCAACTAACTGATAATACAAAATACTTCATTGTTTTCGCAATGATCTAATAATGGAATTGGGAATGATTGAGAAATTATGTGTGATCAACTGACCTGAAAGCTTATCGAATGTACAATATTTCAGTTAGAGAACTAATAATTTATGTATATGGAAAGTGAAAAAAATCATGTTAACATGAAAATTTTTTTCAGGCATTGATCAAAATTATGCAGTCCAACAGGAGATGGTAACATATCCTGTTTGATTCCTGAACAACCATATGTTGAAACTGTCATGGAGTCCAATACTAGAACGAATCAACTCTCCAGTCCTTCCTGGTTTTCAATGGTACTCTATCTAAGATCATTTTTACAATGAATATAGACTATAAACTAAATTGATCTCTATAAAACTCCTTCAGCGAAACTATTCATGAATTTATTCAGTTGTGTTCAGTTTTCCGATAGTGAAACACTAAAAAATGAATCCATTTTTTTCTTTAATTTCACATAACGATATCAGTAACCGATAGAACTAAATGCTGAAAATTGTATGAATACTGTTAATTCTTTCTTTTAGTTAGAAAAATACTAACCATTGAGCATATAAAACGATTAGAAATCATAGAACTTTGATTTTCGATTCTACAACTGATATCAGTCGAACATATCAAACTAACTTTTTCAATGTATATTCATGTATATTAAAGTCTGGTGATAATCTAATTAAAAACAATATTATTCACTTCCACGTTGTTTTAATTTTCTATTTATATAAATCAATATAATATGATAATCATAGTTTTATTTTAAACAAATAATCATTATTTTGCTTTAAACGGTCATTTCATTTCAATAAAATAAAAGAAACTTGCTCTCTCTCTCTCTCTCTCTCTCTCTCTATATATATATATATATATATATATATATATATATATATATATATATAAACAGAAGGGGTTTTGTAAAGATTTTAATGATTTCAATAGTTGAAATCAATAGTCAATTGAAGCTAGACCAACATGGAGAACCTGGAAGCACTGCTTGACGGCTGTTTTGTCCTAGCACGAGACTCCTCAGCAGTGCGCATCCACGATCCCACCCCTCGA